ACTAATGGAAGAATTTTCTTCAAACTTTACTCAAATTTTCACCTCAACAAGGTTATGTGCAGAATCCATGTCACCTTTGTGCCGGGTAAAGGTCAAGGTCACACTTGAAAGTCAAAAATTGACTTAGAAAATGTTCTTAAATTTTAACATGTACTTGAATAATTCTGAAACTAGTGCAGGCATTTGCTTGAAACTTAAGAGATATATGAGGTGTGGCAAATAAGATATGCAGGTCAAGTTTCATTACTCTGTATTGCATTTTGACAAAGTTATGCCCCTTTTTAAGTCTTCAAATTTACATACAACCAATACTAGACAATATATTGTGTCTACTTAATAAATTCTATACTAATGGAAGGATTTTCTTCAAACTTTACTCAAATGTTCAACCAAATTGGGTGATGTGCAAAACCCATCTTACCCTTGTGCCAGATTAAGGTCAAGGTCACACTTGAAGGTCAAAAATTGACTTATAAATAAAATGTTTAATACATTGGGAAAATGAAAGGTTATTTGTAACTGTTTCAACATGATTTGATAATATATATTTATACTATTACCTGTACAATTAGTCTTTTTTTCACCAGAGATAATTTCTTTTTATGTTTTTGTGCCACATAAGTAATTCCCTTAACCTCCTTTCCTAGTGGTCTTCTGTCAAGGACATTGGTGGGGGTATGAATCGCATTCAGCGATAGTTCTAGTTTTAGCATATTTGCAAATTCAAGAATGCGGAGTTCAGTCTCCTAGTATCCCACAGACTTAATGTTTTTATTTTTAAAAATGTTCGTACCTGGATATGATGAGGGCGTGTCTTTAGAAAAAGAATGGTCCCAATAAGGTTCTCTCAGTCGTTTTCGTCTTCGCCACCAACATATAAAAATCACTATAGAAGTGATCGCTAGAGCTGAACAAATTGGGATAATCACAGTTTTAATGAAATTATCTGGCAGCAGTTGTTTTTTATTTCCATCAGATCCTTCTTCAACGTGTAAATCATCGTAAAAGGCTGTATCGAAGTCAGCCGATGAGAGTTTAGAATGTGCATCTTCGTCAAGTGCTTGAACATAAAGGACAGTTATGTAGTTGGTACCATCTATGGCAGAATTTATCTTGATCGCCGTCGAATCTTAAAATAAACAAAAGAAAAAAGTGAATATGTCAAACTCACTTGTTAAACTTAAATAAATTTCGCAAAATGAGGTTAAAATACTGATCATTTTGTAATGATTTTAATACATAATTAGAAAAATAGAATACCTATGCCAAAAATGAAAATATCAACAATCATGTTTTATTTTGCACCAATCTACAATAAAACACCTATTTAAAACACATTTTCTATCTCATTTGTGCATATTGAAATAGTAATATAAGATTTTTTGTTACAATGAAGTAAAAATTAAATATCATAAGTAATGTAACATTAAAGGCACATAACCAACTTTAGCTTGTTAATGGTATAACACTAATTTTTTAGCATTAAAGGTACTGCATCAAAATTTCTGAAAGATTAATGCAGCATTTTCAGAAACAAAACACGAAAATCAGATAAAATGCATTAAATATGAATGATTAAAACAAAGGCATTTCCTTCAACATTTTGAAATGCGATGTACACATTTCATTAACTTGTACTCTCTCAAAACCTGAAATGTAAATTGAATACACAGAAGTAATAATAACTTCTGATATTGGTTTTCATGTTAAATCTTATACTTTATAACTATGCTGTAATGAGAAACACAGATAATGTATAAATAATGAACTGAAATCAAAATATCATTGATATTGAAATTACGAGTCATTTCTCATTAATGATATTCTCTCCTAATCTGCAAAAGATACGAAAATGAGGATACAAAATGTCATTATTTTGAGAATACATACTTATCATTTGCTGTGATGGGTATGACCCATACACCATACCTATCTGGTGGTTTCGCGTTTTCACTATCGTACAATCTTTCGTCACGGGCCAGGACGAAATAAAAAATCACGACGATTGTTCAAACGGAACAACGTAGGAATGTCTAACCTTAGCATCATAGTAGGTCTTGTGGCGTTGTCCCTATTTGATGGGGGTTCTTCGGCAGCCTTATAGACAAATGCAACCCTCTTCTTCAATTTGTTAACATAGGACTATCTGCCCTTGGACTTCTCTGTTGATGATCGATACCCAAGAATAAATCAGTGCCCATCCAAACATCAAATAATGTGGAGAGTAGCCATTTCACTCGTGTTTCGTTGCATTTTAGGTATGAACAAGAGGTTTGAGAAGTTTTTCCAATTGCTCTTACCTTCAGAGTCCAAAGTTCCAAAGCTCGGCTTGTCCATTACCTAAAACTTAGTAGGGTGTGGTTCGAAACTTCTGCACCTGCAATCCTATACAGCTCCTGTATAACCTTACTCTCGAAGTAATGATCAGAATGAACGCCTTCTGCTGAAATATCATAACCAGGATAAGTGACATGTGTACTGAAAATTCACACTTCATTCACGGCTTCAATTGAAAATCTTGTCTTTCAAAATGCTCAAAAACTACTTTCAAAACTAGTAAAAGGCTCTTCAAATGTTCTGGAAAAATAATGACAACATCTAAAAAAATCATTTAAACATTATTTTATGTTGAACTCCCCCATACAATTTTATATTACCTTTTGAAAAGTACAAGGAGAATTGGTAAGACTAATTCCCATTCTTTTGCACGCATTACGACCTGAAGAACCTAAATTAAAAGCTGCCTTTTCACGATCCTTTTTAGCAATTTCCACCTGATATTAACCACTGCGTAAATCTTATTTAGAATAATATACTCATTTGCAAAAAAGGTATGCATTTGGTAACTTGGAAATTATGTAAACTTATATGGCCAAAATAGTTGCAATTAATAGGTATCAAAATTTAAAGAAATGTATTTGTTGTGAACCACGTTTACATATATAATGACCAATGACCCTGTGATATCAATCCCGCTCAGTCAAATGTCGACCCGACATTTCCATATCTTATAGTTACCTTAATTAATTTCAACTACTTTTCTAGGGTCAGAATGTGTCAATTTGTTGTTTCTGTCTTCTTACGTCTTTAAAAAAAAAGTTTTGAATAAAAAAATCGTACTGTATCCATTACTTATAAGTGCCTTCTCTGTTTGTTTTACTTTGACTTTACATATGATTTCTTAAATGACGTTCTAAATTGTTAGAGGCTTTATACTTAAAGTCTCTAAAGCTATGAAAGTAAAACAGTTCTCCAACATACTTCAAGGCGGTAAATTTTTAATAAAATTGATAAAATTGTAGATGCAACCCTTTTAAACTTTGCAGTTTCAACTTATTGACAATAGATGCTTAATGCACCCCTTTTTCTTCTTCTAAGCCTGAGGTCACAAGGTAAAAGATCGTATAAGTTTAAGGGCTTTTGAAGATGTTAAAGCACAAAAACCAAGGTGCATTAGTGCTATTTTTGCATAAAAGTATACTTTTTATGCCATAATTCTACGGTTTTCATGTTTGATATGTTTTTCAAATAAAAAACAGTTTTGTCATGCTTTCCATTCGCTGATGTCATGTAATTTGATAAAAAAAATTTAAACCTTTATGTTTTGCTTTGAAGTCATCATTTAAAACAAGAGTAAAACATATATCTCTGTCAGTTTGTTGAATGTTGGTTTCTTATAAAGGGCAGTCCGTAGCTTTGTTTGATAATAATAGTACGTTTTCGGAAGTCCGCCAATTTTGACAATGCATATTTGTAGACTGCAACAAAAAAATTGAGTTTGTTCTTACTTTGTTCTTTGGCCATTACTTCACATAACTGAGTTCTTTTGCAGATTTCTTACTAACAACGGTTCTCGTAATTGACATATCCCATACAGATATTATTTTGTGGTGAAATTGAAATCAGATTTTGATCTGTGTCGTAATTTTTCAAAAGTCATTTTTTTTTTAAATAAATCTTTACACTCTCAAGTAAAAGGTTTGTGTTTATCAAATAGGTGTAAAATGACTAATACAAATGTTGCAATAAAGCGCTCATTCTTTCACACAGTTTAAGGAAAATAACGCTTAAACTTCCCAATTTGAAGAAAATAATACGCCTTGTCTTTCCAAAATAAAAAGTAACAGACCCGTTTACAATATATGGGAGATGGGGCCCTGAAAATATGCAACTAACGTTAAATGAAATGAACGGATAGGGATAGCGAATTGTCCCTGAATAAAACTGAGGATTACCAAAACGGCAAAAGTAACTGGTATACAAAATAGTTGGCCAGTAATAAAACTTTGTAAGAAATGTTGTTGTTTTTTTTTTGTTGTGTTTTTACAAATTAAAGCTTTTTTTATTTTTTGCTTTTCTAATTGAAACCTAAACGGTTCTTTTTGTCCATTAAGTAGAATAAGCATTGCTTCTGATGCTTTTAAGTCATAAGTAAAGATATAGTAAATTAATATTTTGTTTGGTTGACACAAAACATGCGTTGTTACTCACTCACGCTTTGCTAATTTTAGGAAAAAATATTCATAACATAACATAACATAAATTTATTGCATAAAACTCTTTTACAAAGTTTATAGCAAGCAATACATGCAGGTACATGAAAACGTGTTTTCAGAAAAGAAAAAACAAGTTAATTAAATTGACTTATGAATACATAGTATACGGCTAGTGGTACGCATCCGAGTTCTCCATAAAGTGCGGAAAGGTTTGTTGAGCGTTTCACACATAATACGCGAGGTAAGAATTTTGCATGTAGCAGTTCTATGTCAGTCGCTTCATGCATTCCCCATATTTCAGAGCCGAAATTTAGAATAGAACCAACCAAACTGTCAAATAAGCTTACTTTTTGTTTAATTGGTAACTCGATATTATTAAATATGGTGAACAGGCTATATAATGCACGAGACGCATGTATTCATTATTTATTATTTTTTTAATAATTACATTAAACAATACAAAAGCAGAAACATTCAACATGGCTTTAAGTATTTCATAAGCATCTTACATCTAAATTTCTCCTAATTCATTCAGACAAAACATAGGCTTGCCATATTCACAAAGAAATAATCTTACTCATTTCTGAGTCCTAATATGTGACACATATTTTTGAGGACTTCATGCCTACTGCCTACCCACAATATTCTCTTTATAATCAGGCAATAAATTCATTCTTCGCCAGTATAAAAAGTAGGCAATGATTTAGCATTATAATTACGATAATACTTTGCTGTAAATGGTCAAATCGGAGCATAGTCTCATCACGGACATTAGTTTTGTAACATTTTAATGAATTGCTTACACGGAATATTTTTTAACAATGCACAATAAAGGTACGTAAATTAAAATGGTTTAAGAGCCAGTGGTCCCCCGACAGATTTAACATCATAAATACAGTTGAGCTGAACTGGAATACCAAACATCCGATCCAGAACTTTCGCCAGATTTTTCCATTCTCCTGCCACTTCTGTCTGTTAAAATAATCATGAATCGACTCTATACACTGGAGCTGTAACTTCACAACCCTCATCTCTTCTGATTGGAAATTGGATTGTTGCGGTTGTTCATGACGAAAGCGTTTGCTAACGGATTAGCAAACATCGACTTCCTGCAAATGTTTTTTATCGATGAGTGTCGTCATCAACCGCAATTTTTGACTCCATGTCTGTGATTGACATTGCTGTGTATGACCATTTTAGTCCTTTGTCTCTTTGATCACCCTACAGTCTTGCCAGAATTCGTTATCATTTTGCTAATTTATTTTTATGAAATCGTTGTTTTTTATATTATAACCAAATAAAAAGTGGTTGAAACGTTAATTAGCCATGATATAGACTGTATCATTTAGAATTCGTTTTCGTTGGTTTGACTTTGGTCAGTGCCATCGTTCCTTCTGCTCCACGCTACCGCTAATTATTATGCAGATAAGAGAGGTGGAACAATACATGTGTGTACTTGATGACAAAGAATTTAATTGTATTTTATTATTTCAAACGCGTCGTATTCTAATAAACTATGAAATTATCTCAATATGCTTATCGTTAGTTACTTGTCCCTTAACCAGACCAAAGATCCCGTTATTTCCTTCAGTTCTTCTATAAAAACTTGGCTGTTAATAACCTGTCACCCGTAGCTAGATATGCCATGCATGTCCAAATGTTTTGTGTGATGCCTCATTGTATTTGCATTTTGGCATAGGCATATGTAGTTTTGTTTATCTTATTTCTTTTTAAATACAATGTATATGTTATAATGAATATCTTTGATATTTACAGATTGGTTATCTTTTATGATTAAGAGTTGAAATATAAAAGAATTTATTATTAGTAATGTCTTCGCACACAACGACAACGTGTGAAAATCACTATATTAAATATGATCGCTAGAGCTGAACAGATTGAGAAAATTATAATTATAATGGATTTGTACGACAACAATCGTTTTTTATCACCATCTGATCCTTCTTCAGCGTGTAAATCTTCGTAAAACACTGTATCGAAGTCAGCCGATGAGAGTTTAGAATGTGCATCTTCGTCAAGTGGTCGCACGTAAAAAACAGTTATGTAGTTGGTACCATCTATGGCAGAATTTATCTTGATCGCCGTCGAATCTTAAAATAAGCAAAAGAAAAAATGAGTATGTCACAGGTTTCAATACTACTTGGGAAGTACAGAAACCAACTCTTGGCGTAGGTTTGATGTTTTCATGAATGCCAAATTAAATGGTCTAAATCATAATAAAATAATTAGACATTATAATTACAAGACATAAAAACAAATACAATCAAATAACAATATAAACACAATCGACGCGAAATAAGAAATACAATAAATAACTTGATCATTAGGAGATGTTTCTTACCACAGCGTCTGTAGAAGTAACTACTTTGCCATTGTAAATTGAATCAGGTTAACTTGGAAAAGCTAAACAAACAACAAAGAAGTCCATTTAAAAATGTATTCAATTAGTGAACGTTTGACTCGTATGAGATAACAATGGGCAGGAAAAGCAAAAACTGAGTGTCCAGACGTTTAAAAAAGTTACAAGAATAAATGGAAATCTTTCTCTCATAGAAACATATACAAGATACAAAAGAATTGGACAAATACAACACAGAACGAGTGACCAGTGTTTGTTGTTATGGGTCTTACCCATACACCATACCTATCTGGTGGTTTCGCGTTTTCACTATCGTATCATCGTTCAGCGCGGGGCAAGACGACATTAGAAATCACGACGGTTGTCCAAACGGAACAACGCAGGAATGTTTAACCTTAGCATCATAGTAGGTATTGTGTCGCAGTCCCTTTTTGATGGGGGTTTCTTCGACAGTCTTATAGGCAAACTCCATCCTCTTCTTCAATTTGTCAACATAGGATTCTCTGGGCTTGGACTTCTGTTGATGTTCGATGCCCAAGAATGCATCAATGGCAAGGCATGGATGCCATCCAAACATCAAATAACGTGAGACTAGCCAGTTGACCCGTGTTTCGCTGCATTTTATGCATGAACAAGAGGTTTGGAAAGTCCTTCCAATTGCTCTTACCTTCAGAGTCCAAAGTTCGTAGCATACCGATTATCGTAGAGTTAAAACTCTCGTTCGTCCATTATCGAAAACGTAGAAGGGTGTTGTTCGAGACTTCTTTTCACCTGCAATCCTACACACTTCCATAATAACTTTACTCTCGAAGTTGCGTCGTTGATCACTGTATAGTCTTGCAAGGAAAGAGTAGTTGCAGAAGAAGTTCTCGAACAAAACTCTTTCTGTTGAGTGGGCTGTCTGGTTTCTGGCGGGTATGACCTGGATATACCTAGTAAAATGGTCAGTAATAACATTATTATCAAATCCACCACATGACTTCTCTGAAGAAAAATAAACAGACAATTTCCATAGGATATGAACTCTGTAAAGGAATATATAGGCAGTAGAGATTAAGTTGGCGCTTTTCTCCTGATGTAGTATGGACTAGTTCGAATCTTTTTAAAAACATCTTGTTCCATATGGGGCCAAACAATCTGCTTCAGAAGCCATAAGGTCCTATCACGTCCTTCAGATGACCACCCTCATATTGTAAACATGTCAAGGCAATTCTTCTAAAATGAATCGGTAAAACTAAATGAAAAAAAATTAGTACTATATAGATCTTTCTTTCTAAAAAAAAGACCTTTCTCATGTAATAAAAAGAAAAATTTTACGTCTAATATAAAATTTAACAGCCTTGGACTCTTGTTTAATTTCCTGTGAATCTAAATAACATCATTGTTTAAAATATAGTAAAATCTAGCAATATCAGGATCGTTTTGCTGTTCCTGTGAAAAGTCAAATCTTGAAGAATCTGTAACATCAATAATAGGTTCTGAATTAAATATTAGCTAAAGGTCACTATCACCTAGAAAAGCGACACTTTTTGCTAAAGGAAGTACATTAGAATTCACTAAAGCAGAATTACATATTGCAACCAGCGATGACCTGCAGCATCCAGCTTGGCCGTCTAAGGTTGTTACAATTATGTTAAGGGGTTGTTGTCTGTCCTGAATATACAAGTAATCATGACATTTGTCAGTTAAGACATAAAACACCAACATATGTGCTGGATAATTCCTTTCGCTAGCACGTACACCTCTGCTGACATAACAAATGACACGCACAATTCCATTTTGCCCCCTGATGAAGGACTGTGCCAAGTCTTTCCATCGAGTATTTACAGTTAACAATGAACGGTTCGATAAAATCAGCATATACTTAAACAGGGCGTTTGTAAAGTCCATCTATAATATTTTCACAAACTGTTTATTGAGCATCTCCCCATATCCATTGAGTTTTGGCCTTCTTACTCTTATAGAAGTCTTGAAGGCTGGATGTCATACAAGCAGATCATTTAAAGGTATCATTTTTTTTTTGCATAATAAGGAACAAATCGTCGGTACTACCCTGAAAATCTAAATTCTTAAATTGTTTCCATTATGAGGTACATGCCATGTTTCCCAAAGGTTCTGTTTAAGCAGTTGTAACATGAAAAGGCTTAAAAACACTTGGTGTTTTGCTTGAAGACTACATTAAAATAGAATTTACACAATTCATGGCATCTACAGCTATTTCAAAATCTCTTGAAGAAATATGTTTACCAACACTAAAAAACGTAAAACATTAATACAAATAACACCAGGTACTGACTGAATGTACTCTGTATCAGGAACAACTAAAATCGGCATAAAACACAAATTTCTTAAGTATCTGGAATAGAAACCATAATCTTTAATTTTAAGATCTTACATCCACTGGCAACTTCAGTATGTAAATACTTAATAACTCCGGTTTTGGTGACAAACTGCTGTAAATAGTTTCTGAAATTAAAGTAACCACATAACCCGTGTATCAAACTTAACTTTGGTGTCTACACCACCAATCCTTGCTGTGCCCTCATTAACCTCACCAACCAATCTATCTGACAAAATAAATTTGGAGCTTTTGTTGCAGCTGACTTCCTCAGTGTGCCCCACCACAGAGGAGTCTAAACTTTTGGGTGATAACTTTTAGTGTCGTCAGGCCTGTTTAAAGAAAGAATGTCAGTATTATTTGATTTAGCATTAACAGTCTGCTGACTGCAATTATTTTTTCTAAATTGTACACCTCTTCCTCTAAAGTTTCCTCTGTTATAATCTGTAAAATAATTTCTTTGTTTGTTATACCTTTTTTCTTTTGTAACCTGAAAACGATTGTCTGCTATGACTTGAAAAAGATCTGTCTTTAATTGAAGATTTTTTTTTGTTATCTATGTTTTTTTTCCAAGAGTCTGTACTTTGGTTATCATAGTATTAATCTTTTTAGAAAAATCATCAACCATCTTGTCCCTTGTATCCGAAACAGATTGACTTTGAACTTTTGTTTATAATTCTGAAGCCAAAAGTTCTTATTTAGCAGCTCTTTCTTCGCAGAGTTAACTGTTATAATCAGAAATAGAGTCATTTGTGAAAAGGTAATAATTTAAACTTTTCGTCGTGAAGACCCGTCCAAAATTTAGATCTAAAAATTAAATTTCAAGATGAGTAGCTGACATGACCAGTTTTAACTGCAACCTGAAATGCAGTCTTTTATCTATAACCAGATGAAGCTACATTCTCAGAGGGTTTCTGTGATTCACTGTAAAACGTTTCATGATAGAATCATTTCAATAAACATTTCCAAATAAAGTGTTTAGTTTATTTAAGAAGTCTTACAACTCACTACAAATATCAACACTGTAAATAAAACACAATATATAAACACAAAATCAAACTACGGGTACAGCTGCTGGACAGATATTTTAATCTATATTAATTCAATTTGACCTCAGGCCACCATCGAAGTATACAGACATTTTGTGAATCTCTCAAAACAAAACATAAACCCTGAAATTTTAATCTAAAAAATATTATCAGTATATCACAACACTGACCCAAAGCTGTGTTTTCTGAAAATAGCTTTTAGAGATACAACACAAATTTAATACACTAATTCCTGTATAAAAACTAATACCTCTGTGCACAGTACACACCTGGCTTATGTCAAAACCGACTTTCAGTTTCAAACAGACTATAAGTACAATGTTACATGGTGTGAGCACCAACAAACAGCACACAACACACAGCTGTTACAGTGTTATCACCAAATAAAATTACTGTATGTTTAACAGCATTAATCCGCAAATAATACGAGTGAGAAGGTTTACTAATACTTGAAAAATTGCTAAATTTACTTTTAAATCATAACCTTAGTTACCGTTTATAAGCGTCGAACGCTATTTTTTACATGCCTAACTGTCGGGGTTTTACTATATTAGCTGCGGAGCATTTCAATTAACAGATCGTTTAATATACAAATAATATATACCCGACTCTATACCATATAACTTTATTTAACCTTAACGCGAAATTGTCATATAATCAATCGAGGGCAGATACATTTATAATAATACATACAAGAACATTCACAATAGATGATTGTTTAAAATAATATCCATGATATTTATCGTTACACGTGTAACAATACATGTCCGTATAAAACAATATCGAAAACATGTATAGTCTGAATGACAAAAAAGCATTTAAGTTTGATAAATCGTAAAGATAATGCAAATTAATTTATTTAATTTACACGATCTCATTAAAATAACAACTGGTATATCTACAACTAATTTATTTTTGCTAAAAGCAGGCAAAGTTGCGTAGGGTGTAAACAATCGATGACACTCAGCACTGAAATTCCCATTCAGATCTATTTTGTATTGCATCTACACGAAGAATATAAAACTTTTAATTTATGTTTTGTAGCAGACATTTGTTTACATGCCTTTTCATATCTTCCATTTCAAATGTACTTTGATTTTATTTACAAATTACATTTTACGATAAATTATATAAGCACAAAACCATGTAAACAAAGAGCATAAAGTATCATAATGTAATTTCCACGTTCTTTCGTTCTTTTGTTACTTTGTTTGTTTAGACACACTTAGAAAACATTAAACGTTATCAAAATGTTAATAAAAACAATAATTATGAACGTCAAGATAATATTTATTGAATACATTTTTGCAATTACTCAATTGCACATATACTGTTTTATATCTGTCAATAAATTAATGGAGAGCTTATTGATATAATTCAAATAGATATAAATTAAGACTCGTTTAACCCTGTACCTACATGTTTACGCGATTTAATGCTCTTTCGACTCCCACCCTTTGAGGCCTCAAGTAGTGAAAAAAACGTCCTATTTTGGCACAAAACACTTGTTTTCGTTTGAGAAATGTTGTTAAAAAGAGAGCATTTTTTTCGGCGCCTTCCCTAACAAACACATACATCAGGGGCTGCCAGAGGGGATGTGTCCTCTTTTGCTTTTGGGTTTGAAGGGGCTCCTGCCTCCCTCAACGCCAAGAACTTTTTGGACTCGTTAGAGGCTAAAAATGACCTCAAGTCGTTCTTAAAGTAAGGTGTAACCAACACTGAAAAGCCTTTGACTCTATCTCAATCTATGAAGAAGTTGCATCACTTTGAAATCTGTTTAATGGAAAAAAGTCAACGTAAAATAGTGATTTTTGGCAATTTTGAGATGTTCCCCTCGTTTATATGGTAACAAAAAATTTAAGATTGAGCATGCCGTTACAAAGGCTATGGTCCAGTGAGGATATGCTTGATTATTAGTAAATTGTTTATAGTTTTATGTATCAGGAAGTTTGCAATGACAAAAAGCCATTTATCACAAAATGCATCTGGAGTAATGGGTTAAAAGCGTTATTTACTCTTTTTTAAAAAAAAAATCTGTGCGGTTCTTTCGGCATTATATAATACGTTCATAATATGACAAAGGTGGTCACTTGAAACTTATTTCTATATGTCACATGTTAAAACCCAAAAGTAATAAAAGTAAAGATAAGCCTTAATATAAACAACTTTTGCAAATAACTATAAGTGGGGAAACTAAAGATCAATCAACAAGAAAAATAATACAAATGATACAAACGTTGCATAAGATGAAGAAGTTCTTACCTAATAATGAAACGATTTATGGTATTAGAAATATAGCCAAAAGTAAAGGATTTAAAATATACTTACTTTCGTGAAGCAGAATTTTAAATTCGGCGGCTCTGTCTTGTGGAAACATAAGCCATAATATCAAATCGTCTCCTAAAGCATCCAAATAAGAAAGGATTGTGTCAGTGTCTCCCAGGCAATTATCGAATTTAGCTTTTAATGTTACCTTCAAATACTGTGCTTTGTTGCGTGAAGCAACAAGATTGTCTTCGGAATTTATAACTGCAAAGGTCATTGCTTTGTCTTGTTTCTTTTTTAAGATGTTGTCATATTTCTTCCGATACCAAATACAATATGTCCCCTTCAAAAAAAGAACATCGATTGTTTTGTTGGGATATTTAGTTTTGCTATTTTCATACATCTGTAAAGGATCAGTTGTTTTCTCGAAATCTTTTTTAACTAATTCAAAGAATTTCGCTTTGCAAGTGTCTTTCTGCTTTTCAAAATCCTCAAACAAAGATGTTATTGCATTTTCCCAAGTTGCTAATGTTTCGTTATAAAGGCTCTTCTCTGCAAGTCTTTCATTTAATAGGTCTAGTGCGACAACATCAGAAACTAGTGTCATGTAGTAATTCTGGAATTCCTCAAGACGTGTCATCCCACATTCAAATTCATTTGTAATAAGAGATAATAGAGTATTGGAAATTCCCGACACGGGAACTCTGAAAGTGAGGAGACTTTTGATTTTATATATCTTTATTTTATGTAGCTCATAGCTTTTAAGAAATCTTTTCTGTTGTTCCTCTCTGATTTCCTTAGATTTTGCTTTAATTATGTATTCCATGTCGATAAGGAGTTGTTTGACAGTCAGGGCAACCTCACGCAATTCTGATAGGTATGCTTGAAGTTCAATTTTAAATATAATAGCTTCCGTCGATGACTCAATTCTTTCCGATATCCTATTAATTATTCTGTCATACTCGAAAGGTGCCGGTGTACTTTGAACCTCGTCTTCCCCTCCTAGTATTGAACTAAAAAACGAGTACACGTCTATTCCAAATGAAACAACTTCGACCGCTTTTGTAAGAGTAGTTATTACCGGTATAGCATTAGCTGGTCTGCCATTAAACAAGGCGAGAGCAGCCACGACAAAAAACAAAATTCCTCCTTTCATGATTGATAATACAAAAAACTTTATTCACAAATACTCTTAAAAGTTTCTCACACTTAACACACAATAGTTATAAGAATTTATGCAACTTTCACAAAATCTTACGGACCAAAAATAAGATTATTATTACAGACAAAATCTTAACTTTGTTTATTATTATCACAATTTAATCATCCTTAGAGACGTCCATTTGTTATTATTGCGCTTGCGCTATGCCAATTTAATTAGCGGATTGTGAAGATATACAAATACCGGTATTTTATTGGTTGTATTATTTCAGTTTGTTTCGGTTAAATTGGGTAGGCTAGATTTTGCCCTTCTTCAAGACATACTGTTTGAACATGAAAAACAACGAAATTGTTTCAGCCCAACCACCTGTTTATACTTAATTTTTACCTCGATTGTACCTTCTGAAATCCAGTTTTTTTAATTATTTAGGAATGTTAAACATGTGTTTAGTTATTATTAAATAACGGATTAAGTGCATATTAGATGTTTAACAACTGAAAAAGTAGCACATAACACGCAGTTATGTGTAGCAAAATGTAAACAATGTAGTCTATTGAAAATAAAAAAATATATAGAAAAAATACTAAACAATTCACTTTAATTTTAATTATCGCGAGCAGGGTTAAAGACGCAAAAGAAAGTTTATGTATGTAGCGAATAAGTATTTTTTAAACTATAGTAATTTACTAAGGTTGCTGATTTTGTGAAGTTTAATAAATGTATAAAACGAATACACAGGGGCGCAGAGCGAAAACACACTAATACGAGGAGCGCAGACGAGTAGTCAAGGTTTAAATAGTGAGAGCGCGAAGGAAAACACACTAATAAGTGGGGGCACGGAGCGAGAAGTCGAGCTTTTTAGCGGGGTTGTAAACAACATCACGCTAATAATCGCCTTATAACAATAAATATTTCGCTTTGCGAAGTGAATTGAGTGAGTAAAATTCATAAATTAAGATGTTAATGTTAACAATAACAACTGGCTATGTTCCCTTGAGTTTAAGAGAAGAACTTAATCCGTCTCATTATATCCTTTAAATACTTTTAAACATTTTAAGGTTTTAAACTGTGCGACAATGAAAATTCGTCAATCCACATACAGGTGACGAAAATATGCTATTTTTCACACTTGTGTGTGTGCGTGCACGCGCGTGTGTGTGTGTGTGTGTGTGTATGTGTCGCGTGCATGCGTGTGCCTGTATGAGTGTTATCCGAAGAGAAAGTGGTCAGGAGTTAGTAACGAGAAGTCAATCAATCACACGCCCGTTTAACTCACAACGAGTGTAAAATGTGCATCGGTAAAAATGTTGTGAGCAACTTCCGTTCCTCGTTGTGAGCACCCATCTAGCATAGGTAAAAATGTTGTGAGCAACTTCCGTCCCTCGTTGTGAGCACCCATCTATTTTTACCGATGGACATTTTACACTCGTTGTGAGTTAAACGGGTGGTACTTAGAATGGCTTGACCGTTACCAGCCGTGTGGCTTCTCTGCTTGTTTTTTATAGACTTTACATATGATTTCATTTATAACAATTAAAAGTGTTATAGATTTACATACTTGAAGTCTCTAAAGCTTTGAAAGGAAAACTCTTAAACAGACTTTTAGATGTTAATAAAATACCATTTATTTGCTCGAAGCGATAAATTTTTGGTAAAATTGTAGATGCAACTTTTCTTAAACTTTGAAGTTTCAACTTATTGACAATAGATGGTTAATGCCAATTTTCGTAGTCTAAGTTGGAAGTCACAGGGTAAAGAATCTTATAAGTTTGAGTGCTTTTGCAAATGTAAATGAACTAAAACAATGTCAGTTGCATAAATGTTTACTTTTAATTCGATAATTTCACGTTTTTCATGTTTTATCTGTTTTTCAAATAAAAATAGTTTTGTCATGCTTTCCACGCGCTGTCATGTCATTTGATAGAAAGATGTTGTGTTTGCTTTGAAGTCATCATAAACCTTGTATCGATGTCAGTCAAGGGTAGGTCCGCACTCTTGTTTTGCATAATAATGGTACGTGTTGGGTAGTCCCCCAATTTTGGCATTGCATACTTGTAGACTATAACAAAAAAATATATTTGTCCTAAATTTGTTCATTGGCCATTACTTCACATAACTGAGATTTTTGCAGACTTTCTAATTAACAAGGTTCTCTGTAATTAACAGATCCCATTCAGATATAATTTTGTGGTGAAATTGAAATCAGATTTTGATCATTTCGTGATTTTTCTAAAGTCATTTTTCAAAATAAATTTTTACACTGTCTCAAGTAAATGGTTTTGTTTTTATATAATAGGTGTAAAAAGACTAAAACTGTTGCAATATTGCGCTCATTCTTTCACACAATTTTAAGGAAAATTACGCCTAATCATCCCAATTTGAAGGAAAATCGCGCATTGCCTTTCCAAAATAAAAAGTTACAGACTAGTTTAAAATATAGGGAAGTTGGGACCTTGAAAATATGCAATAACGATAGAAGTATTGAACGCTCTGTAGTGGATGCCCTGACGGATATAGGTATATAGCGATTCGTCACTGAATTAAACTGAGAGATACCAAAACGGCAAAAGTAACTCGTATACAAAATAGGTGGCCAGTAAAAGAACTTTGTAATGTGGCCGCGGTTCAGTAGATTTAGTAAATTGGAATTTTGTTAGGTTGACAAAGAAAAACACACGTGCGTTGGAACTCACTCACGCTTTGCTAATTCTATGACTAATTATTCAACATTCAACATTGCTTTCAGCATGTGATAAGCATCTTACATCTAAATTGCTTTAAATTCATTCAGACCAAACAAAGGTTTGCCATTTCCACAAAGAAATAATCATACTCATTGCTGAGGACTAATAAGTAACACTATTTTGTTTGGACTTCATGCCGACATGCTTACTGCCAATATTCTCTTGAACAATCAGGCGATAAAATCATTCATTGCTAGTATAATGAAGAAAACGATAAGGCGTTGGCTATACGATAATACTTCACTGTAATTGGTCAATTCGGAGTAATGGTCTAATCATTTTCTAAAATTTTAATGAACTGCTCACACGGAATATCTTTAAACAATGCACAATAAAAGTACATAAATTTTACACTGGTTTAAGAGTCAGTGGTCCCCCGACACTTTCACTATCATAAATACCGTTGTGCTGAACTGAAATACAAAATAAAACAAAATCATAAACACTCTGTCCAGAACTTTTGCCAGATTTTGCCATTGTTCTGCAACCTCGTCAAATTGCTTCTGTCTGTGAAAATAATCATGAATCGACTCTATATACTGAAGATGTAACTTGACAACTCTCATCTCTTCTGATCGTGAATCTTCGGCAGAAATCGGATTGTTCCGGTTGTTCATAACGAAAGCGTTTGATAAGGGACAGCAAACATCGACTTCCGGTGGATATCCTTTATCGAAGAATGTCGTCTGGAACGGTTTCGGGGGACAAAATGATCGTTGCAAAATTCGTCATCAACCGCAATTTTTGATTCCATATCTGTGATTGACATTGATGTTTATGACCATTTTAGTCCTTAGTCGGGGATAGTCTCTTTGATCACCTTACAGTCTTGTCAGAATTCGTTATCATTTTGCTAATATACTAGTATTTTTATGAAATCGTTGTTTTTTATATTATAACCAAAAAAAGTGGTTGAAACGTTAATTAGCCTTGAGATAGACTGTATCATTTAGAATTCTTTCTCGTTGGTTTGACTTTGGTCAGTGCCATCGTTCCTTCTGCTCCACGCTACCACAATCAATTATTACGCAGGTACGAGAGGTGTAACAATAAATTTGTGTACTTGCCATAGGACAAGGAATTTAATTGTATTTTATTTGTTCAATTGCGTCGTATTCTAATAAATAATATGAATGAAGAATGAATTGATCTTAATAAGGGTATTGTTTGTTACTTGTCCCTTGACCCTACCAAAGATCCCGTTATTTCTTCCAGTTCTTCTATAAAAACTTGACTTTACTGTTAGTAACATGTCACTCGTAGCTGGATATCCTATGTCCGAGTGTTTTGTGCGATGACTCATTCAACTTAACATTTTGTCATATGTATATGTAGTTATGTTTGTGTTTCTTTGTAAAAATGTGTTATAACTATATATCTTTGATCTTTACAGGTTGGTTATCTTATAAGAATAAGAGTTAAATTATAATAGAATGTGTTATTTGAAATATCGTTTTCGCAACCAACGTATGAAAGCAAAAGCGATCGCAAGAGCTGAACAGATTGAGCCAATTATAATTAATATGGATTTGTACGTTTTTTTATTTCCATCAGATTCTTCTTCGTCGTGTAAATCTTCGTAAAAGGCTGTATCGAAGTCAGTCGAAGTGAAATTAGAATGTGCATCTTTTTCAAGAGCTCGCACGTAAAAGACAGTTATGTAGTTGGTACCATCTATGGCAGAGTTTATCTTGATCGCCGTCGAATCTTAAAATAAACAAAAGAAAAAAGTGAGTTTGTCACAGGGTTACATATTACTTGTTCTTGAGAAGTACAGAACCAAATCATGGCACAGGTTTGATGTTTTCATAAATGCCAGATAAAAATGGTGTAAAATGATAATAAAATAATTATACATTAATTACAATACATAAAACAAAATATAATAAGAAAGTCTGGATTTTCTGCCCCTAACTGCTAACACATTGGGTAATACACCGCCTTATATTATAGTTCAGATACAATGTGTGATGAGTAATAACAATTCTGTTTTTATCCTTAACTTTGCTTCATTTGTTCAATGATCACAATTATACTGTTTTCTTTCGTCTGCTGCTAGTGACCTTGTTAATAAAAATTCTCCATATCAAAATGGCGTAGTCCATGGAACAAAATGGCACACTCCATATACGTTCTGAATGTTTTTTGATTTCTTGGTGAAGTTTGATATCGTCACGTCTCAGTGAGTTTCAACAAACATAGTTCTTCCATCTTATGAGAAAGAAGAAAAAGATTTCTTGGACAACCATTGATACTTTAGTACTTATCTACGATAACGATAATATTTTCTTATTTTCTACATCATACTACTACCTGAGGTATCATATTATGATACTTGACTTTGACGTCTCCTAGAAATAGTCTGAATTGTGAAGACGCTATTTTTCCAAAAGTGTCCTGTATTCTAAATAAAGCTCAAATATAGAACAAGTTCATTTTTTTAATGGCGTCGCCCTACTAACCAAAAACATCTGTTTGACTTATGTGTTTCTGTTGATTCTAATGTTATTTCAAATTAACTTATTCACGTCATACACATATATACATACCCTTACGCATGGACTTTTCACGTATAATAACAGACAATAATTTGTATTGTCTGAATCAAATTACACCCACTCAGATAGTGCACCGATTTAATCCTGTAAAGCACACATATTAATATAATTATATTTGCAATTTCTTTACAATTAATCAAACGTAAATGTTTTACAATGTCATTCAGACAACTTCGATTATCAATAAAAAAAACTGAAACCTTCATGCCTTTTACATATCCCGACATAATATACCGTTAACTTGAAATTTGACACGATCTCATTAGATAACCACTGGTATTTCTACAAGTGAAGCTAAAAGGAGGCAAAGTTGTGTAGGGTGTGAAAAGTAAACAATCGATGACACCGATATTCAATCCAGGACTATTTTCGCAGCTACACGAAGGATATATAACTTATAATAGACAATTGTTAACATATCTTTTCATATCTCCTATTACAAATATACTTTGATTGTATTCACAAATGATATTGAACGATAAATTATATAAGCAGAAAACTTTGTAAACATGGTATCTTAATAAATGTTTTGTTGTTTTTTTTGGGGTGTTTACACAGAACATTAAACGTTATTAAAAATTAAAATGAAAACAGTAATAATGAATGTCAAGATTGAATTTATTTTGCAATTTTTCATTTGTCCATATGTTATTTCTTTAAATAAAATAAAAAAGAGCTTATCAACATAATACAAATAGAAAAGGATAATGATTTGTTTAGAAACGTTATTTTTCAAATTAAATTTCTCTTCACTTCTATAAAGTCACATACGAGTTATAACCCATAAGTAATTAAAAGTTTAGCCTTAAAATAAGCTACATATGCCAATTATTAAAAGTGGAGAAACTAAAGGTCCATCAACAAGAAAAATGAAGGAGTTGCATGCTTATTATGAAACAAACAAAAAACATTCAAATTAGCATTATCAATTATTTGTTTCCACGGTAAGTTATCGAGCGAAAACATTTTGTTTTGAGAATGCTGTCAAACAAAGTAGATATATTTCGATCTAATAACGTTTTTCTTTTGAAAAAAAGGCATCATCTTTATATTTCAATTACCGATTAACATGATAAGAAATCATTGCTTTTTTGTGTTTTACGTGACGATGCCCTGACTAGTAAAACAATATATGTGATACAAAAGTTGCATAATATGAGGAAGTTCATACCTAATAATGAAACGATTTATGGTATTAGAAATATAGCCAAAAAGTAAAGGATTTAAAAATATACTTACTTTCGTGAAGCAGAATTTTAAATTCGGCGGCTCTGTCTTGTGGAAACATAAGCCATAATATCAAATCGTCTCCTAAAGTATCCAAATAAGAAAGGATTGTGTCAGTGTCTCCCAGGCAATTATCGAATTTAGCTTTTAATGTTACCTTCAAATACTGTGCTTTGTTACGTACTGCAACAAAATTGTCTTCGGAATTTATAACTGCAAAGGTCATTGTTTTGTCTTGTTTCCTTTTTAAGATGTTGTCATATTTCTTCCGATACCAAATACAATAAGCCCCCTTCAGAAAAAGAACATCGATTGCTTTATGGGAATATTTAGTTTTGCTTCTTTCGAACATCTGTAAAGGATCAGTTGTTTTCTCGAAATCTTTCTTAACTAATTCAAAGAATTTCGCTTTGCAAGTGTCTTTCTGCTTTTCAAAATCCTCAAACAGAGATGTTATTGCATTTTTCCAAGTTGTTAATGTTTCATTATAAAGGCTCTTCTCTGCAAGTCTTTCATTTAAAAGGTCTAGTGCGACAACATCAGATACAAGTGTCATATAGTAATTCTGGAATTCACCAATACTTGTCATCCCACATTCAAATTCATTTGCAATAAGATATAATAGAGTATTGGAAATTCCCGACACGGGAACTCTGAAAGTGAGAAGACTTTTTATTTTATAAAGCATTATTTTATGTAGCTCATAGTTTTTGCGAAATCTTTTCTGTTGTTCCTCTCTGATTTCTTTAGATTTTGCTTTTATCATGTCTTCCATGTCGATAAGCAGTTGTTTGACAGTCAGGGCAACGTCACGTAAATCTGACAGGTATGCTTGAAGTTCCATTTTAAATACAATAGTTTCCTCCGATGACTCAATTCTTTCCGATATCATGTTTATTATTCTGTCATACTCGAAAGGTGCCGGAGTACTTTGATATTCGCCTTCTTTTTCTATTATTGAACTCAAAAACGAGTAAACGTCTATTCCGAATGAAACAACTTCGACCGCTGTTGAAAGAGTAGTTATTACCGGTATAGCATTAGCTGGTCTGCCATTTAACAAGGCAAGAGCAACCACGACAAAAAATGAAAATACTCCTTTCATGATTGATATTACATAAGAACTTGTTCACTAATACTCTTAAAAGTATCACAAAGACACGCGATAGTTGTAAGATTTTATAAAGCTTTCAAAAATAAGATTAAGTTTACAGAAAAAAAAATCTTTACTTTGTTTATTAATTTCACAACTGAAACTTCCTTAGTGACGAACTTTAACTATTATTGCGCATGCGCTAAGTCAAATGTAACTGTTCGGTACTTTCCGTTAAGTAAATTGTAACGAGGAAGTTTAAAAAACTTTCATTAGCGGTGTACATAATTTATATTTGTAGTTTACTTAATGGTATTTTATTGGTTGTGTTACTTCAGTTTCGATAAAATCGGATAGGCTACATTTTAAACAATTTTGCCTGTCTTCAGGACAAACAGTTCGAGCATGAAAAGTAAAAAAACTGTTTCAGCCCAACTACTGTTGATACTTAATTTTTCCTCGGAAGCGTTTCTTGCTTATATAACACCAGTCCCGATGACTGTTTGCTGAAATCCATATTTTTTAAATTGTTAAGAAATGTCAAACATGTCTTCAATAATGCTTAAATAATGGATTAAGTACATGATATATGTTAAACAACTAAATAAAGTGGCGCTGAACATGCATTTATGTGTCGTAAAGGTAGCAATAAAGTAAACAACGTAGTATTTGACTCTCAAAATTACGAGGGGTGTTCAAATATGAATGCAACTGGGTCAATTTTCAGAAGTGGTTAAACAGTGCTAAAATAATTACATGTATCTCATTCTTTCAATATACTCACCTACATGTGATATACAAAGTTTTAGTCTTTTAATCCAATTTTTAATGCGATTTCATAATCATTTCGAGGTATACTGTTCAGACACTGGAAAATATCCGAACCGAGATTTTTTCGCGTTTGATATTTTCTACGAGCATTGGAAATAAAAAAAAGTCACAAGGGACAAGACCTGACGAATAAGGAGGGTGAGGAAGCCCGACAACCTTTTCCTGTTTCATATATTCTCGTACAATGCCCGCTTTGTGTGACGAAGCATTGCCATGCAACAACCTGACACCATGGAGACCATTTGCTTGTCGACGGTTTTTAAAATATTTCTTTTATTTATGAAGGCCATGCCTTTGTAAAAATTGGAATTTATATACTTACCCTTTGATACGGTAATCCGAATAGCAGGACCTTGATTGGTAAAGAAAATTACATACATGACCTATTTACCGCTCATGGTACGTTTTGCTATGCAAGATCTTTGACTTCCTTTGGTTGCCCATATTTTGTTATGTATCTTTCGCTTAAAGTCATAAATAGAACCAATGTCTCATCGCAGTGATGATATTTTCGAAAGATCGATTGTTGCATTTAGGAAACTGTTTCAGCAATTGTTTGGAAATTCTTACCCGAGCAAGTTTTTGCTCTTTTGAAAGGAGATTGGGTATCCATCTGGTACTTATCCTTCTCATTTTAAATCACGTTTGAAAATTGTATGAGCGGCTCCTACAGAGATATCAACGCATTTAGCTATATACCTAGTTGTATTGTATCAATTTAAAGCTTACACAACCATCTATGCGATAGATGTATATAGTTCGTGCAAAACTATTGCAATATATTGGCCTAGTTGCATTCATATTTGAACACCCCTCGTAATTTTACCAATTGTGAACAGAGCTAAAGACGCAAAAGATAGTTCATGTATTGAAGCAAATGAGTATGTTTTTTAAACTTAAACTGTAAAAAGATATAAAAAAAAAAAATAAAGAAAAAATTCTAAGGAATAATGGGCCTATCAGGGAGTGAGCAATGAGTAGTGTTCTGCTCAGTGAAGTGGAAAGTGTAATGCTTATTAAGTTTCGTTCATCGATGTGAGAATTAATCAGTAGGGTATAGTTCATTGAGGGTGTAGTGTTAACCAAGTATAGTCAATGAGTAAGAAGTGTGAAATGATTGATTTTCAGTGAAAGTCTAGTGCTAAGTGAGTGATGTTTATTGAATGAGAAGTGCTCCTTGAGTATTGATTATTGACTGAGTACTACTCAGTATCGTTCGTTGAGTGAGTAAAATAAATGAATTAAAATGTTAACAATGAGATATGGCTATGTCCCTTTGAGTAAAAGAGATAACTTAAGCCGCCTCATTAGATCCTTTAAATACTTCAAAAGTGTAAAAAAGTGGGACAATGTAAATTCGTCGATCCACACACAGGTGACGAAAATATGCTATTTTTCACACTTACAAGTGTGGGCGTGCGTGCGTGTGTTTGTGTGCCTGCGTGCGTGTGTTTGTAATCCGTACAGCATAACGTGGTCAGGATTTAGTCACGGGAGGTCAATCAATTATCCCTGGTACTTAAAATGACTTGACCTGTAAGAATCGTTTATTACCGATTCTAATTTAAATATATTTCTTACGTTAAACGTTGTTTGGCGCCAATTTATTTAACGTTACGCGCTGAACAGTTTAGCGCGTCATTTTGACGTTATTGTTTGTTATGAATTTATGAATTAAAGCTGAAACTGTATTTTAAAGGTTTCGATGTGAAAGACTTAAATGCTTAAATTATTTTGATTTATTTATTTATGTTAACGGATAAAAAGAATTTTAATGAAGTATTTATTAATTTTAATCAATTGTTACGATTATTTATTCTATGGATTTTAACTGTACTTATTTAATTATTATATTCTATTATTTATTTGTTAAGTTTATATCAGAAATGAATGTATTAGTTAATTACTTTATCATTTGTTTCAGAGAATCGCTTTGTTTTATGCTGATGTGTGAAAATAAAAGCTATATAGAAGCGCATACTCGAAAAGTCTAGTTGTTATCCGAAATCCTTTACATGACCTATACCAGCCATGTGGGTTCCCTGCTTGTTTTTCATGCACTATATATATGATTTCATTTATGACAATCTAAAGATGTTAAAAAAATACGAGATGCATTTTTGTGTGTTGCTGTTCTAATCGAAGCCTAATCGGTGCTTATTGGTCATAAAATAGAGTGCTTCTTATGCTTTTTAGTCATTACAAATGATAAAGTAAATTGGTATTTTTTTTTATTGGCAAAATAACACATGCATTGTAACTCACTTACACTTTTCTAATTAAAAGACAAATACTACAACATTCAGCATGGCTTTCAGCATGTAATAAGCATCTTACATCTAATTGCTCTAAATTCATTTAGAAAAATAGGTTTGCCATTTCCACAAAGAAATAATCGTATTCATTTCTAGGCAGGCCTAACATGTCACACTAATATTTGAGGGCTTCAAGCCTTCTGCCTACCCACAATATTATCTTTTATAATCAGACAATAAAATAATTTATTGCCAGTATAAAATAAACATACTTTGCTGTAATTGATCAATTCGGAGCCATGGTCTTATCACGAACATTAGTTTTGTTACATTTTAATGAATTGCTTGCACGGAATATCTTTTTTAACAATGCACAATAAAAGTACGTAAATTTTACACTGGTTTAAGAGTCAGTGGTCCTCTGACACTTTCACCATCATAAAAACAGTTGTGGAACACAAAAAAAAGTCATAAACACTCTGTCCAGAACTTTGGCCAGATTCTGCCATTCTTCTGCCACCTCGTCAAATCGTTCTGTCTGTTAAAATAATCATGGATCGACTCTATACACTGGAGCTGTAACTTCACAACCCTCATCTCTTCTGATCGTGAATCTTCGGTAGAAATCGGATTGTTCCGATTGTTCATGACGAAAGCGTTTGCTAACGGTGCGGCAAAGATCGATTTCCGGCGGATGTTCTTTATCGATGAGTGTCGTCTGGAACGGTTTCGGGGGACAAAATGATCGTTGCAAAATTTGTCATCAAACGCAATTTTTGATTCCATGTCTGTGATTGACATTGCTGTTTATGACCATTTTAGGCCCTAGTCGGGGATAGTCTCTTTGATCACCCTTCAGGCTAACCAGAACTCGTTATCATTTTCCTAATATATTTTTCTGAAACCGTTGCGAATATTTTTTTGTTGTTTTTTTTGTTGTTTTTTTAATATTGTAACCAAATAAAAATTGGTTGAAACGTTAATAAGCCTTGAGATAGACTTATCATTTAGAATTCTTATCCGTTGGTTTGAACTTTGGTCAGTGTCAGAATAATCATACAGTTTTACTGTACATAGTTTTTTTTACAACGAGTCAGCGATACACTGAAGTGTATCATATTTCAATGTACAGTTTCATTTATAAACCTGTTGCTGGGAGTGTAAAATTTATCTACATGTTTAAATGTCAAATCGTTTAAGCTAGCAAATATGCGCGTTTAGAGAGAGATTTTACATCAGTTAGGTGAGACACGCTGATAGTGTGTAGCGGTTATTTTTTTATTGGGAAGAGAATTTTGTTGTTTTGAAGAGAATTGTGTTGTTTTGAAGTCAGTTTTGTTGGATTGTTGACGTGGTTGAATATAATTGTGGTGATCATAATTGATCAGGGTTTATTGGTTGTAATTAAGTGTTTTGGTTGTTGAGTTATATCTGTTTGTGAAGATATAATTGGTTGATATTGGTTGAATGTTTGTTTGGTCAAGATTATATTAGTTGTTGCTTTGTTTTGAGGATATATGTAAATATTGGGTGCTTTAGTTTAAGTTGTTTTCTGATGCTGATTAGATTGTGTGAAGTTAATATTGTTGGGTGAATGTTTGTGGTTTATACGGTATCTTAGAGTTGTAAAAACATTCATTTTTGTGTTCTTCATTTTGTGGTGATTTTATTGTTTTGTTTGGTCATAAGTTGTTTAGAGCTTGGACTCGCCAGGTGTCTTGTTTTGTTTCGTATAAAA